CCAAGTGCCACTGCCCATCCGCTGGCAGCAGGCAAATGGTATCCTGCATAAGTCTGAAGGCAGCAGGGTGGTACAGAGCCCAGCGCACAGCCCACCTCCCCCCCCCGCACACAGATTGGGGAGGGGGAGGCACATGCCCCTCATGACTGCCCCAGGGAGCCCCTGCATCCCTGGAAAGGTCCAGGCCACCTTTGTGCTGGCCCTGCTGTGGGGATGGAGCCAGACAGCCCAGGGGGAGAAAACTTCTGGGGAACAGCTGGCTGCTGCTGCACTCTGCACCATGCTACCGCTGCCTCCAGAGCCATGTGGGATATCATCTGCCTGCCACCACTGGGGCAGGCAGGGGATGCAGTGCAGCCAGTGCACAGAAGGCACATAGCATTATGCAAGGCTCCCAGGGCAGTGGCAGCATGGTAAACAGCCCAGGTAGCACCAGACTGCCTGCCTGCCTCTGCCACACAGATGCAGGGGGCACATACCCCCCACGCCTGCCCAGGGTGTGCACAATGGTGGGGAGCCTCACCTCCCTCAGTGGCCCTGGACAAGCCTCCTACTGCTCCGTCCCATGATCCACCCTAGCCCCAGGGTCCCATTCACCCCTGCCCTTGACCCACTTCTCCCTCACCATGGGGGCCTTGATCTGCCCCTCTCCCCCAGGCTCCAACCCCCCCAACCCCAAGGACATCACAAAAAAGTATCCCTGGACAGGAAAATTTACACCATCTTTTTTCCAATTTACAATTGTTTTATATAGCTACCGTAACTGATAAAAACATGTTTTATGATTAGTAAAGGTTTTGATATTGTTTTAATACATAGTCTGTTACCTATGTATAATAGACTGTATGTAAATTATTTATACAAATTGGATGCCCCTCTTAGTTCAAGTATCTTCTGCATTAACTGCATTCCCTTTCTTCTGGCAGGGACAGTGGACTATGAAAATCCACACACATGCATATACAGCTCTGCCAATTTATTACAAAGCTATGGTCACTTCAAATAAGTTGCGACATGCACAAGAGCTCTATTCCTGAAACTTTTACTTTAAGACATTACCTAGTGTCACTTTGCTTCATTAAACAGGAGTACAATGTTTTGTCGTCACATTCTATTATACAAGGTATTCATTCCTCATAATTACTGAAGACTTATGCATAAATGTGGAAAGTTGTTTCTTGCAATTGGCAGATTGCTTACCTGCATTGATGTATCTGATTTAATAATGCTGACACCGTCTTTTCAGAAACTTTCAAAGCATTTTGTGCAAGAATCTCCATTCTTTTGTACTTGGACTATATTTAAAAAAAAACAACAAAACAAACAAACCACAATGCATGCATTTTGAAGCACAAAGTCAACAAAAAATACCTAAAGCCACATCCACACCTGCATACTAGTGCAGACCCTTCTATGTCCACTCATTTTGCTTTAGATTAAAACATTTCCTAATAAAGTAAAACTAATCAGAAGTAAAACATGAACTACAATTAGACCAACTACCCAGAGAAAATGTGTATTAGTTTAAGTAAATCAATTTATATTCTTATATATCTTTAGTTAGGACTGCTGGAAATCTGGGGAGTTCAAACCATCTTTTCACTCTACCCCTGATGCATCTGATGTCAGCTGGGCTTTCCAGCGTGCCTGGAAACAAGAGGTGTTTCAGGTTCAAACAGCCTCCCCAGACACAGCTGGGACTCTTTTAAGGTAATCTTTTATCTAATTATTTTCTTTATGGATGTGCACAGCATGTGGCATTCATGCAAACTAGAAAAAGGTAATGTACATTAAACAATTACCCAGAACGTCTTCTTTAGTTGGTTAGTAAAGCTTTCAAAGGCAGCAATAACACCAGTGTCACTGACATCTTCATCCAGCATCTTGGAGTAAAAGACATCATCCAAATCATCTGTTTTTTGGCCTGTAACAGAGTAAAGTACACCTCCATTTCAAAAGGGCATCAACAAACCCCATCCTTATTATCTGTTGCAGTGCAGCATGTTCCCATAATCCAATAGGATGCAAATGACAAGAGTTAAGGATGCATTGGAGTTCAACGATTACTCCAGTTCTTGCAAGCTGGAGCTGAACTATTGCAAATATATTTAGCAGGCCTTCCAGATGGAATTTTTTAAGGACACCTTAGAAAAAAAAATGCTTGGATATCTATATACCAGTAGGGGTACTGAACAAAAAAATACTGGGCCTGATCTCTACTGTTTTGCTTCTTGAGAAGTTATTTACATTAACATAAATAGAGAGTAACCCAACACCTTTTATTCTGGTAATGTTTAACCATTATTTTGTGCTTTGGACTATAAAAATGGCAAGACTATGAACCATCAATTTGGGAACAGGATGACTTTGAACTGTGTAACTGCCATTGCTGCTGTGCAGTTGTTTACAAACTCCAGGTAGTTTTCTCCCAGCATGGTACAGTTCTCTTTCCATTTAAATCTCTACTTCCACTAAGTGAGCAGTGATCATATTTTTGAGTTGACCATCTGTCCCAGTTCTCTCTCCTATCAGAATGCCTCACTTCCCACATGGGAGTTCTTCTAGTCTTGTGCACAGTTATGATTTCCATTAATAAAGCCAACTTATGAAGGTTCTGAAAGTTGACCTGGTGATACCTGTTTGAGGTTTGTTTTTCTTTTCCACTGTAACAAAAAGGTTCCTTGGTTCACTGGAAACACTAGGAGAGGAAAGATTGGTTTCCCATCTCATAAGTTTAGGCTTTCTTAAAACATCACCAGGTGATAAATCTACAGAAAAAGATATCAATAAAAGGACTTAGCGCTGAAGATTCAAATACAGAACTAACAGTTCCCTACTCCCCAGGCAATAGCCAGAACTTTTTTTTTTTTTTTTTTTTTTTTTTTTTTTTTT